CCTAAACCCCTGAAACTTCAACCCCTGCACCCCTAGTGCCCTACGAATCCCCTAACACTTAAACCTCTGAACCTCTGAACCTCTAAAGCCCCCAAACCCTAAACCCGAAACCCCAAACCCCGAACCCTAAACCCCAAACCCTGAACCCTAAACCCCAAACCCTAAACCCCCAACCCTAAACCCTAAACCACATGAATCACCCCCCAGAACCCTAAACCATAACCCTAAACCCTAAACCCTAAACCCTAAACCCTAAACCCTAAACCCTAAACCCTAAACCCTAAACCCTGAACACCAAACCCCTCCCCCCCCCCCCCCCCCCCCCCCAGAGTTCGGCGCCCAGTCTGCCGTCTTTGGTGGCCCGAAGTGGCCTGCCATGCAGCAGTTCCCTCAACCTTCCCGAAGACCTAAACCCCGGGTTTAGGGTTTAGGGTTTAGGGTTTGGGGTTTAGGGTTTAGGTTTTGGGGTTTAGGGTTTCTGGGGTTTCGGGTTTAGGGTTTAAGGCGGCTATGGGAGGAAACCGCACGCAAAACCCTTTCCACGCGCAGATGAACTTCAAAACCCATCAGGGCTTAGGGCTGTAAGGCTTAGTTTCTGGTGCAGGGTTTAGGGTTATAAGGTTTAGGCGTTAGGCGTTCTAGGCGTTTTAGGCGTTTAAGGAGTTTTAGGCGTTTTAGGCGTTTAGGCGTTTTAGGCGTTAGGCGTTAGGCTTTAGGCGTTAGGGTTTAATTAGGGTTGAGGGTTTACGGTTTCGGGTTGGGTTTAGGGTTGAGGCTGAAGCCGTGGAACGGACACGGGCGAGCGTGGCTTTTTTGGGACCCCACACTGGCACAAGACCCCTTCCTTCAGGGTCCCAGAGCTTAAGGCAGTTCCCGGCATGACACGCTGGTAAACCCTAAACCCTAAACCCTAAACCCTAAACCCTAGAATGCTTGGCAGTGCCAGTCCCTACTTGAGGTTTGGGGTACAGGGGCTAGGGTTTAGGGTTTGGGGTTGAGGTGGGGTAACATCCCCTGCACAACACACTGTGAAACAGCTTAAACCCTAGATGGCTTGTCCCGGGTCTCGCTTCTGCTCATTGGCCCCTGCCAGGGTACGACATGACTCCATATTAGGGTTTCTGGAGTTGGAGTTCTAGGGTCTAGGGACCTAGAAGTGCCCTATATGCCCCAAAGCCATGAAACTCTATTCCCACGAGTGTGACATGGACTTTCCGAGTGTGACGTGGACTTTCCGAAACGCCCACAGCATTCAGCCTGAAGTTTGAGGGTGTAGGTTTAGGGGTTCACAGGGATCCAACTTCATGCCCTCAGCCCTAAACTATTCTGTTATTGTACCATGATCTGCTGATAGGAATATACTGTAATATTGACGTATACATATATATATATATACACACATATATCTCTTTTATTAATATACAATATGATCGTGTGATTCTATTACGCTCAACAATGAACTACCCGCAGGCGCAAATCTTGTATTAGGCCCACCCCCCACCCCCGCCCGACCCCACCCCAGCCCCGAACAATTTCGAGCCTTTTCGAGGCGCTCAGTCGTAAGAAATGGGTTTGGGGTTTGGGGTTTGGGGTTTGGGGTTTGGGGTTTAGGGTTTAGGGTTTAGGGTTTAGGGTTTAGGGTTTAGGGAGGTTGAGGGGTTGAGAGGTGGAGGGTCGACGAGTAAGGGGTTGAGAGGGCCTGGGAAGAAAATTCGGCTGCGGATTCCTCCGGACCACCCAAACAATATGAACCCGAAGATGGCCCCAAGCATTCAAGCTTTGAGGGTTTAGGGTTTAGGGTTTAGGGCTTCGTGTTACCCTCCCGGATATCCGGCCCAAGAACTCTGACATTTTTTCCCGACCTACCTTCTCAGTGAGAAGGGTGAGCTGAAACAAAACGTTCAGAGTCCGCACCTTCTTTTCGAGTCGGGTGGCGATCTTTGAAATTTAGCCAGGCCCTACATTAAACCCAAAAAACCCGATTTTTAAACCCTATACCCCATATGTAAACCCGAAAAGCCTTATAAACCCTATGACCCTATAAATCCTAAACAGTACCTTCCCCCACCCCCCTCCCCCCCCTAAACCCTAAACCCGAAACCCGAAACCCTAAACCCTAAACCCCCCCCTCCCCCGGTCGCCTCCGTACTTTGCAGGGAGGTTTAAGGGAGACACTCGCTGCATGGCAATTATAAGAATGCGCCGCCGAAGCAGGCGCAGCTTGAAACACGGTTAAGGCGGTTTAGGGTTTAGGGTTTAGGGTTCAGGGGCCTTAGGGCCGGTTCTGCAGGTTTTCTTTTTGTTTAGGGTCCTGGCGCCCGTGAGGCTCCACAGCGTGGCCAATCTGAGGAATCCGGGGAAGCTTCTGGCCATGCTGTGTTAGAACCAATTCCCTAAACCCCAAACCCTAAGCCCTAAGCCCTAAACCCTAAACCCTAACTCTTGGCCCGGAGTTGCAGGAGTTCAGGGTGGAAGGGTTTGGGGATTCGGTTTTTAAGGTTTATAGAGCTGGGGTAGCAACCATGTCTGTTTCTGGTGTTGATACCTGCGTACCTAAACCCTAAACCCTTAACCCCTTGTTCAGAAAGAGGGTCGCGAAGCTGAACCAAAGTGGTCTGCACATCGGATGGTCTTGGCGAACACTACGCCGCAACTCTAAACCCTAAACCCTAAACCCTAAACCCTAAACCCTAAACCCTAAACCCTAAACCCTAAACCCTAAACCCTTGAGCCCTAAGCCCTAAGCCCAAAGCCCCAAACTCCAAAACCCTCTACCCCCCCCCCCCCCCTCTGTACAACCCCCCTAGGTTCCGCCCATGATTAGGCCCCAAAAAGGGATAATTAAGCCGAAAATTAAGGTGAATGAATGGGGGAACCTAGGGGGGTGGGGGTAGTAGGCTTTAGGGTTTAGGGTTTAGGGTTTGGGATCTTCGGAGCTTCCAAAGAGAGACCGGCATCCGCATCCTAGATCCTCGAAACCCCACGTCCCCAAAGCCCTAAACCTATACTCCCCTTAGAACCTTATAAACAAGAAAATGTGTAATACCCTCTTGGGTTTTAGATCAACAAAAGTAAAGGAATAATCCCAAAGGGGGATATAGAAACTGCTACTTTCTTAAGAACCTTTCCCTGCCCCTCGCCCCAAGAAATGAAACAGATTCTTCCTTGTAGGGGCAATCTAATATAGGGATTGTTCTCTTTGAGGGTTCTGAAGCAAATAGCCCTGAAACCCTAAATTACAAAACCCTCGACCTTTTTGAAGTTCAGGGCTTGAGGGCTGAGGCATAGACCCTGACCTTGAACCCTCTTACCCAAGCCTAAACCCTTGGGCTGATTGGAGTTGAGCTCAGAAAGCCCAGAGCTCACTTACTGCAAGATGCTTACTAGGCCTACGCAGGGTTTCGGGTGTTGGGTTTAGGGTTGAGATTCCAACTCGTGCATGCGCACCCCTTTTCTTGTCGTCCAGGAAAGCACGGTGTTTCTCCGACGCCTATACCTGTTGTAGTGGGGATTTGGATGTTCAAAGACGACTCGTCCCTAAACTCTACAGCTACAAACAACAATCCACAGCCTTCAGCCATACCTCCTACCACCCTAAACCCTAAACCCTAAACCCTAAACCCTAAACCCTAAACCCTAAACCCTAAACCCTAAACCCTAAACCAGCTTTCGGGCTTTTGAGGAGATACTGAGGGTTAGCTTGGGAGTTGTGTCTTCGCGGCTGAGAAAGATTCGGGTGGAAGACGAGTCCCCAAAACCCTCCTTACCCTGAACGACAAATGGGGTTTCCGAATTTAGGAAATTAGGGTTTAGGGTTGAGGGTTTAGGGGTACCTTGTTGGGGTCCTTATTCAAAGGGAATCCTTCTATTTGGGGGGTCTTATGATAGGGGTCCCCTAGTTTCGTAAGCCCCCCAAAATAAAGCCTGCAGTCTAGGGATAGTACAGCGGCTCTCACCCTAAACCCTAAACCCTAAACCCTAAACCCCAAACCCTAAACCCTAAACCCTCAACCCTCAACCCTAAACCCTAAACCCTAAACCCTAAACCCTAGAGAGCCCCCAAAAGTCATCGCGCGGAAAGATGAACATCTCTCAATTCCCACTCGGGTCTCCGGTGGCTCCTCTTTGAGACCGGCCGGCGTCGCCCGCTGCCGCTTAAGACTTACCGGAGGTCTTGGGGTTTAGGGTTTAGGGTTTAGGCTTTAGGGCATTTACGTTTTAGCCTGAGGGTTTGAGGCTTCGAGGGCTTGAAGGTTTTGGTACTTTTGCGGTCTTTTTGTATGGATGGGTAGCGACACGCTAAACCCTCAAACGTAAAACCTTAAACCCGAAGCCCTAGGACCTCAAACCCAGGCTTTGATAGGTCTTCAAGTAAAGTCTACATCAATGCAGAGTCTACGGGCTTAAGACTAGAAGCAATGAAGCTTTAGGGTAGGCTTGAGTGATCAAGTTCGAGGTTTGAAGGGTTTGAAAGGTTTCGGGTTTAGGGCTTAGGCTTTGGGCAGGGTTTCGGGTTTAGGGTTTAGGGCTTAGGGCTTAGGGCCTGTAAAGGATGACAGGGCCCGGCGACAGCGTGGCGGTTGCGACCCTGTACATGTCTGCAGAAGAGAGCCCTGACCCCAACAAAAGCGAAAGACCACCACAGTCCCCACAACGGCGATGACAGCCCGCTACTCCCAAAACCCTAAACCCCAAACCCGAAAACCCTGAACCCCAAATCCGAAACCCTAAACCCGAAACCCGAAACCCTAAACCCTAAATTCGTAAACCCCGATTTGGGGAATCTCCCTGACGGGAGCATGGCATGAAAGGATTGCAGCTTCTCTCTCCGTGCTGCAGCTGTAGGACTTAGGATTTTAGGGTTTAGGGTTTTAGGGTTTAGGATTTAGGGTTTAGGGTTTGGGGTTTAGTTGCTCAGTGCTGAGTGCAGGAGCGCGCAAGGTCTGCAAACCTTCTAGACTTCCCGCCATCAGATTTTCGCTCGCGGAGGACTCTTCCCCTCAATCTTCCAAGGTGTGGGTGTAATCCTACAGGCTGCGCTGGGGGCCCGGAGTCCCCAGATTCAACAAGGGAGGGAAAAACTTTTGAACCCCAGACCCTAAACCCTAACCCTAAACCCTAAACCCTAAACTCTGCTTCTACGATTTAGGGCTTGTCGTAGGGGCTTACACCCGAACCCCCCAAACCCTAAACCCAAATTAAACCCCAAACGGCAACCCGAAACCCAAATCCCGAACCGATCTAACCCCGCTTAGGGTTTAGGGTTTAGGGTTTAGGGCTTAGGGTTTAGGGTTTAGGGTTTAGGGTTTAGGGTTTAGGGTTTTGAGTTTAGGGTTTAGGGTTTAGGGTTTAGGGTTTAGGGGGTTTGGGGTTTAGGGTTTAGGGTTTAGGGGGTTTGGGGTTTAGGGTTTAGGGTTCAGGGTTTGGGGTTTAGGGTTTATGGTCCCGAAACCCTAAACCCTAAGCCCTAAACCCATATGAACCCGAAACCCTCAGCCCGTAGCCCTGGTCCTGCCAGAAGACTCCCGGCGTTTGCTGCGGGTTGGCCTTCGGATTCTGGCCGTCCATGGGGGCTTCACCGGTTTGGGGTTTTGGGGTCTTGGGTTTTGGGGTTTTGGGTTTTTGGGGTATTTGGGGTATTTGGGGTCTTTGGGGTTTTGGGGGTTTTTGGGGTTTTTGGGGTTTTTGGGGTATTTGGGGTTTTTGGGTTTTTTGGGGTTTAAGGGGTTTAAGAGCTTTAAGGGCTTTAAGGGCTTTAAGGGGCTTAAGGGCTTTAAGGGGTTTAAGGGGTTTTGGGGGCTTCAGAGGTTGAAATGGTTTCAGGGTTCAGGGCCTGTTGGAATTCTTAAGGCTCAGGTCCCCGGAGTTTCGAGGAAAGCTTCGGGGAGTTTCAAGTAAAGCGTCCAGGGGAGTTTCGTTTTTCTAGACTTTCAAGTGGGTTTAGGGTTTAGGGTTTAGGGTTTAGGGTGTAGGGCTAGCGGGTTTTAGGGCAAGTTGAGTGTTGAGGAACTCAGGGAGTTCGGAAGGGAAATGTTTGCGGTTTTAGGGTTGGGGAGGTTTATGGGTGGAAGGGCTTGGGGCGCTTCGGAGGGTGCAGGGTTTAGGGTTTAGGGCAGTTTTGGGTTTAGGGTTTAGAGTTTAGGGTTTAGGGTTTAGGGTCTAGGGCTGAGGGGGGGGCTATGTTCCGGTGTGTCGGGGGGGGGGGGGGGGGGGGGGGGGTGGGGGTGGGGGGGGGGGGGTGGGGGCTTGGGGGCCGCTTGAGTTCAAGGCTTAGGGCTTTGAGGGTTGAAGGCATAAGGTTGAGGCTCAGGGTTGAAAGGGTTGAAGGTTCCCTTGAATTAGGGTAAAGGGTTGAGGGTTGTTGGGTTTTGTGTTTCGGGTTTAGGGTGTTGTTGACAGTCCAGAGGCAGAACCGCGGCCAGCATTGCCAGCATTCTGCAACTCCTCCCCAAGCAAGAAACATCTGTTTTTGTCATCCACCCCCCCCCCCCCCCCCATCCCTCCCCCACCCCCTAAACCCTAAACCCTAATCCCGAAACCCTCAAATGTATGCAGCATGACTTCGGACTCTTCTCTTTTCGCTCTGCTCAGCAAGGTCTGAGGTTTGACGTCCACAAAGTGCTTTGGAAACATACCCTGGCAGGGTCTCCTCACACGAAGGGTAGACCTGACAGGTCCTGCATGAACCTTCCTGGTTCAGGCCCATATAGAGCCCCTAGGGTTGGGAGGGTGGGTGAAGAAAAAGGAAGCCCCTCCAGGCTTCCTTTCTACTAGCACCCTCCTGGTGCTCCTGACTGTGTGCCCGCCTGGCACACTCAGATCTGTGAGCCCGGACAGCCACAGCGAAGTTATGCTTTTCATACAATAGCACCTCACCAACCTGCCCAAGCCGTAAAGGTACCAAATGTATGCAGCATGACTTCGGACTCTTCTCTTTTCGCTCTGCTCAGCAAGGTCTGAGGTTTGACGTCCACAAAGTGCTTTGGAAACATACCCTGGCAGGGTCTCCTCACACGAAGGGTAGACCTGACAGGTCCTGCATGAACCTTCCTGGTTCAGGCCCATATAGATCCCAATGAACTGTGTCCCCCAACGCACTGTGGTCTAGAGAAACGAGAAGACCTTGATGATAACAACATATGGCATTGAGAAGAGCCAAAGAAGGGGGGTGGTCGACGTGACTGGGAAGCAATGTCGTTGTAGCCATGGATCGTGCCGGCCCTGGCGCGATATCCCATCGCTCCAGTTATCGTCTGACGCTACCCACTCGAAGAAGCACTGCATACGCAGGCCGAAGGCTGCTGCGTGGAAGATGCCAGACATACTGTCTAGCTCCGGATTGGAGGACCGGCCCTTGATGAGGCTCATGAGGGCAGCAACGTTATCTATCCACCAAATGCCGTAGGAGCTACGGAGGAGGGATGCCCAATGCACCGTGGCCATGAGAACGACGCAAAGTTCTAATTGGGCTATCTTAGTCGGGTGGCTGCTCCACATCTCGAAGAGGCTCGCATCAATTTCGAGGACCACTCCGCGCCGACGGCCTTGAGGGTCCACCAGGAGCGCACCTGCTCCTCCTTGGCCAGGCTGGTCTTGAGATGCATCTGAGGCTACGCAGAACCGCGGGGGAGGCTCCCCCATCAGCTTGAGCTCTCTGCGCGGCTTTGTAGCCAAGAAGGCCTGCACCAACTCCAAGGACTGCCGCAGCTCTGGGGACAGGATATCCCCTCCGAGTTTGTTGTACTGGTGTGAGCTGAGGGATTGCAGGCCAGCGCGGCCGACTTTGCCAAAGGCTCCGTGCGCCAGAAAGTTGAGGCACCCGTATAGTTTGGCTGCTTGACCATGGCCCAGCCGGCCGGATTCACGAGCTTGGGCGACCATCGCGGCTACCTTATCAACGAGCCTTTGCCTCGCCCAGAAGGTGACTTTGCCACTTTCCAATCTGGAAAGGTCGTGATGTAGCCCCAGAAATTCTCCAACCTCTGCCATGTGCTGTCGTTTGGCGGCTGCAAAAGGCGTTCCGAGCAGGCGCAGCAGTTCCCCGGCTGATGACTGTGCCGAGGTAGCTGAGGGTGCTGGGTCTTGCAGAGACAGATCATCAAAATAGAAGCTCCCACAAATGATGAGGAGACGCCTAAGGACAGCCTGCAGGAATCTGCTATACCGATTGAAGCTGGTAACAGCGTTGGGCAATCCAAAGAGGTGGCCGAAGTAGCGGCGAAGTCGCACTTCGCCTTTTTCGTGGTCCCAATAGGCGACCACTGTTTGCCAACTCTCCTTCGGGTCCATTGGTGTGAACCTGTAAGCCTCCGGCAGGTCCTCACCGCCTGTGAGGATACGGACTTCTCCTGGGTCGTGACCGTTGCGCATCAAAGACGAGCACAGCAGGCGGGCATGGACTCCCGGTTGCAGAGCTGTGCAGAGATCGAGCTTGTTGTGGTCCTCGCTGGCTGCGCTTTGTCCACCTGCTGCTGCATCGTCTATGACTCGCTTCTTGCCCGTCCCCTGCGTGATGCAGAATCGCGGTATCAGCCTGGCTGGCTGATCCCCAACCAGCAGTTCCCCTGCTGAGAAACTCGGGGAGCAGAAACCAGCTGCCTCATCATGGCGGCCAGCCTCCAGGATGACATCGTCATCCGGCCCAGGCGCCACACGTGCGACTACCTGTCGCACCTGCTGCTGCCAAGCAGAGGCGCTGGGTTCCGCCGGGATTGCGTCTCGAAACCCGAAGACGGGGACCTGTGGCGAAAGCCCGACTGCAGGGAAGCCCGTGAGCAGGCAATCCAAAAACTGAGCGTCCGGCCACTCCACGAGCATCATGAGAATGGGCACCATGGCAATGCTTCGGTTCTTGACCACGGAATATACTTCCGGGGCCTGCCTGGACCTGAGAAGCCGGTCCACATCCGACAAACGATGGACCAGTTCCTTGATTGCGCTAATGACTTCAGCACGGACTGCAGAAACCGTGTCCAGGTGTGCCCCTATGTAGTCGGACGCAAAATAAAGATCATGGTCAATCATGTGTTCCCACTCTAAAGGGGTCGGCTCATGACGGAGTCGCAGGGCATGATCGAAGTGTCCTGACTTGCCAAGGTGGAAAGGGATGAGCGGGGGGTTAGCCGCCCTGTGCGGCCCTGCACCCGCCTGGAAGCCTAACGCCGTCTGCAGAGCCGGCCTTTCTGCTGCCGACACAAATCTCGGCGGGCACTGGCCCCATGTCCACGGGCTCTGCTTCATCCGCCAGCCACGCCAGAGCGTGAGACAAGGCGAGTTCACGATGTCCTCAATGAATGGAAAGGGAAGCGACGCTGGGTTGGCCCTCCAGGCCATTTTCATGAAGGTGCCCTGTATGGTTTGTTGCGAAAGAAACAGGGGGGCTTGTCCAAGCACTCGAGCTCCAGCTGCCATTGCCAGTAACTTTGCCGCTTCCGAGCCGGGCGCCTCCCGGCTGTTACCTCCGACGACATAGAAGGCATAGGCTGCGCGAAGGACATCCGCATGGCAAATGATGTTTGTCGGGCAGTCGCAAACCAAAGTCTTGCCTCGGAGCTGATGCAGATCAGGAATGAGGCCCAGGCTGGGCAGGGCGTACGCAAATTGAATGGCAATCTCGGCGTGGCTGCCGTGCCTGCCCAGGAGGAAGGGGTTCCGCCAGCAAGTAGTTAACCACCTGTGAGAGAAGTGCCCTGCACCGACATAGATGTGGTCATGGGGCAGGTCATCTGAGTTGCGGTAGACCTGGTCGGCTTGCGCTCGGACGGGTACGTCTGACCTGCTGCTTGGCACCCCGGAATAGAGGCTGACTGCCTCTGCCATGAGCGTCGATGTTGTTCCACAGGTGTCATCGGTGAGCCACCTCCTGTCCGAGGAGGTATCCGTCCAAGGCATCCTTGGGCATGTGGCCAGCTTTGGCGTAGCCTGGCTGGCTAGCCTTGCCATGAGTATGCACCACCCAGGCGCGGGCTCCTCATCCAAAAAGTCGCAGGTGGACTGGAGGTGGCCACAAAGAAGTCCACGGTGAGCCAGAATTTGCCGGGCATTACTCCGCAGTCGCCGTCGCCTGCGGCCACAGGCACTGAACAGGGCGCAGGGGTCGTACATCAAGTCCACGAAAAATTTGTCGCGGATGTCGCTGGCTTCCCACGGCAGCATCCATCTGATGGAATTGTGTACGCCGTCACGGAAGACGATCTTTCCCTGAGCGCAAAGGAGGTCGTGAACCAGCAAAACCTGAGCTGTGAAGCTGTCTGCCTCGCGGGCCTGCCAAGCCCGGTTGCCCATGGCCATGGGGTTGTCGATCGGGCACGAGTCGGACCGATACCTGGACGGACGCTGAAAAGTGCTGTCTTCCATCCAGGCCAATGAGCAGGTGACCTCCCCGATAAACTCCATAAGCGACTCAATGACCGCCGGCCCCGGCTGGGCGCAGGAGATGGCCTGTACAAGGCAGGGCGGGGGCCCAACAACCTCCCACCCGCATCTCCTGAAAACTTGAGCACAGAAAGACGACAAGGGCTGGCCAAAAAGTAAAAGCACAGGTTGAGAGTCAGGCACTTGGGAAAAAGGTTTTGAGCTGTAAGCGAAGGACTTTTGACACTGCGTGCGCAACGAATCCAGACGGAGTAGAGGAGAAAATTGAGTGAGCGAGCCCTGTGCAACCTCTTCAAGGCATGGCTCGAACGACTTAGCAACACTGGCTACATGGCTACCAGAGTTTGCTCGCCGCATCCCTTCAGGATCTCCAGGCGAGGGGCGCTCACGACAGGCCTCCAGCCCGTCCAGCCCCTGTAAAAAGGAAAAACAAGGTGTTGGCGACTCCGAGCAGTGGTGTGGGAGCAACTCTCCCCTGCCCGGCGACTCCGTGGCATGGCGGGGCGCCTCCCCCGCTCCTGGCTCCTTTGGAGCGTGGCGCGAGGGGGGCACCCTCTTTCAAGCCTTGTTCTTCATGTCGCACTTGGACGGGATGTGCTGGAAACTTCCGCACACCCGCCCGGATGTAGCCAACACCCCGCAGCGATGAGCGCCCGACTGGCACTCGCGACCCTTGTACTGGCAGGCGCCGGTTTGGTACTGCTGGCAGAGGGCGGTGCCGTCACGAAGGGTAGCCGCCAGCTTGTAACCGCCGCCTGCACGTGGTTGCTTGGCAGGGGGCCCGCCCGTGCTCTGGCCTCCATGCTGGGCGGGAACGTGGACCGGCGCCTGCCAGAACGGGGCCCTCTCAGCGTAGACCTCACCGATGACGACCCCGAGGCTTGCGTCCGTGCGGCCGTTGAAGCGGGAAGCCCATTCTGCTCGTTCTTTGAGGTCCAGATCGCGGAGGAAAGTCAAGGAAATGCCGTTCTTGGTGGACAGGTCTTTGGCCCGGTAAAGGTACTTGACCAAGAGCTGCCAGGGAACCATGACATAGCGAGCGGGGTCGCTACCCATGCCTTCCGGGTCTG